ATCTATTGAGATATAATCATATGGCTTTTTCTTTTATTCTGTTGATGGATTGCATTGGTTGATTTCATAATGATAAATCAACCTTGTGTTCATGAGATAAACCCTACTTGGCTATGATCTATTTTCTTTTTTTTTTTGCGGTACGCGGGCCTCTCACTGTTGTGGCCTCTCTCGTTGCGGAGCACAGGCTCCGGACGCCCAGGCTCAGCGGCCATGGCTCACGGGCCTAGCCACTCCACGGCATGTGGGATCTTCCCGGACCGGGACACGAACCTGTGTCCCCTGCATTGGCAGGCGGACTTTCAACCACCGTGCCACCAGGGAAGCCCTATTTTCTTTTTTGTATATTGCCGGATTCTATTTGCCAATATTTTCTTCTGTATTTTTGCAACTACATTCATAAGATCTATTGGTCAGTAATTCTTTCTTTAACAGCCCTTGTCAGATTTTGGTATCATAATAATGCTAACCTCATAAAAGGAGTTAAGAAATGTTTCCTCACCTATTTTCCGAGAGTTTGTGTAATATTTGTACTATGTCTTATTTAAATATTTGAAAGAATTCCCTGAGCCCATGGCCATCTGGGCCTTTAGTTTTCATTAAAAGATATTAAGCTATTTAAATTTTCCATTTCTTTTTGTGCCTGTTTTTTATAAGTTTTTTTATTTTCAGAAATTTAATTCATTTCATCACAGTTTCATAATTCATTGGCAAAATATTGTTTGCTGTACCTTTATTACCATTTGCTATGTGTACTATATCCAGTGATGTCTACTCTTTCATTCTTGATGACGGTAACTTGTGTTTTTTTGAAGTTCACTCTTTTTTGAATGTTTTCTATTTCACTGATCTACATTATGACCTTTATTTACTTCCTTCTATTTAATTTGTATTTAATAGCTATTATTTTTCTAGTTTCTTCATAAAAGAGTTTAGATTATTGATTTTAAACTTTTCATTAAAAAATAAAACTTTAAAATGAGAAATTTCTCTCTAAGCACTGCTTTAAATGTATACAACAAACTTACTATCATCCAGTTTAAAATATCTTCTATATTTCTGTTGATTTCTTCTTTGACCCAGTGGTTTAGAAATGAATTGGGTAACATCCAAATACTGTAGATTTTTCTAGATAATTAAAAAAAATGATTTCTGATTTAATTACTTTGAAATCAGAAAATATACTTTATGTAATTTCAATATTTTGAAATTTATTGACAATTTTTGTGGCTCAAAGTCAGTTACATCTTGGTGGAATTTCCACATGCACTGGAAAAGAATGTGTATTCTGTAGTGTAGTGTGGGGTGTCCTGTAAATGTCAGTTAGTTTGAGTTAGTTGATAGTGTTGGTGTTGTTCAAATATTCTATATCCTCAATCAGTTCTTCATCTGGTTGTTCTGCTAGTTAAGGCAGAAGGTTAATATCTCCCTTTATTATTGTGAAATTGTCTATCCTAGTTATGTCATTTTTTTTCTTCATGCATTTTGAAGCTCTTTCATTACTTTCATATGCATTTGGGAGTGCTGTATCTTCTTAATGAATTGACTCCTTTATTATTATTAAATGCCCCTCCTTATTTCTATTACCCCTTGTCTTCAGCTACTTTATTTTGTATTATCATGGGCAGACTTACTTTCTTTTTTTTTTTTTTTTTTTTTTTGTGGTACGCGGGCCTCTCACCGTTGTGGCCTCTCCCGTCGCGGAGCGCAGGCTCAGTGGCCGTGGCTCACGGGCCAGCCGCTCCGCAGCATGTGGGATCTTCCCAGACTGGGGCACGAACCCGTGTCCCCTGCATTGGCAGGTGGGCTCTCAACCACTGTGCCACCAGGGAAGCCTCCCAGACTTACTTTCTTATGCTTAGTGTTTGAGTAGTGTATTTTCCCCCACACTTTCAATTTTCAAATTAAAAAAAATTTTAAGTCTTTATTGAACTTGTTACAATATTGCTTCTGTTTTATGTTTTGTTTTATTTGGCCCCAAGGCATGTGGGATTTTAGCTCCCTGACCAGGGATTGAACCCACACCCCCTGTATTGGAAGGTGAAGTCTTACCCACTGGACCACCAGAGAAGTCCGTATCTATCTTTTTACACTTTAAATGGCTCTCTTAAAATACTAGACTATCAGTTTCTATTCTGTTTTTAAAAATCCAGTCTGAAAATTTCTGTCTTATAATTAGTGTGTTTATTCTATTTACATTTAATGTAATGCTTGATATAGTTGGATTTAGGGCTACCATCCTGGGGTTTATTTTCTATTTGTCCTATCTGTTGTTTGTTTTTCCCTTCTTGACTTTTTTTGTGGAGGTTATTGTTATTATTATTGTTACTATTATTATTTTTTCAGCTAAAATACCTATTACATTTGTTTTATTGTGATTCTGCTGGCAATGGTTTCTCCCAGTTTTTGTTTCTGAGCATGTCTTTATTTGACCTTCAATTTTGAAGGATATCTTTGCTCTCTATAAAAATCTACGTTGATAAACATTTTTCTCTCAGTATTTTAAAGATGTCATTCCATTGATATCTGGCCTCCTTTGTTTTTCATTCTTTGTATGCTGTATTTATTACACCTCCCCCAAATATAACACATATAAATAATGTATCTTTTTTTTGATGTTTAAAATTTTTTTTCCCTTATTTTTCATTAGCAATTTTACTGTCATCTTCTTACTGTAGCTTTCTTTGGTTTATCTTGCTTGAGGTTTACTGAGCTAAGATCTCTGTGTTGCTATTTTTCGTGCTATTTGAAAAATTTTAGTCATCCTTTATCTAAGTAACATTTGTGTCCTATTCTGTTTTTTTTCCCCAGACTCAGCTACATATATTTTAGACTGCTTGATATTGTCCCAGGACATCTTTTCCGTTATTTTCTCTTTTTGCTTCAATTTGCAGTAATTTGCATTGATATGTTTTTAAACTGTCCTTTCTTTTTTAGTGTCCAATATATTGTTAAACCTATTCAGTTTTTTATTTCAGAGATTGTATTGTTTATTTCTATGTTCCCATCTCAACCTCTCTATTGCCCATTTTTTCTCTTGATTATTGTTACAGTTTCCTGTTTCTTTGCATGCCTAATAATTTTTAACTGTATACGGACATTGTATTGATACAATGTAGAGATTTTGGACTTCATTATTTTCCTCTGAAGAAGATTTCACTTTATTTTAGCAGGTGGTTAAATTACTGGTGCGTCACCTTAATTATGACTTTAGCTTTTTTTTTTTTTTTTTTAGTATGAGTCTATTTTCTACATTTTTGCTCTTAGACTCAGGTCATAACCATTTATCCTGAGACTTGATTTTTATTCCTGAAGTAAGGCCTTCTGTGGAATTAATGGAAAGCTCAAGGTATTTACCAAGCTTCTCTAACTTGATAGGACTCGAACTCCAAAATTTGTCCTATAGCTTTGGGAAGTTGATGAAGTTTCTGCCTACCTCTTTAGCCTTCTAGTCATTGCAAGACAAGATGGGTTCCTTTTGGTCTCATCCTGTGCATGCAGTTTAGGTCACAGAGGAGGATTTGAGGTAGATTTATATACAGGTTTATGGCTCCATATGTTAAAGGAACTCCACCTTAACTTCAAGCTGCTTTGGCGGTCCCAAATTACGATCTTTGACTTTTTAGCCCCATAAGACTTTTCTGTTTGAGCTCTATCACCCACGAACTTTACAAACTGAGACGTGCTCTCAGGGGAATGGACAGTTAAATGAATATCTCACCTAATGTGTCTTCCTTTTTTCAAGGGTTTGTCTTTTCCGGTTTCTATCCACTTTTGATTGTCTTTTAGTGCCTTGAAACAGATTTTTTTCCCATATGTTGGCCCATGCTTCTTGATTTGGCATCTGTTCTGGTAAATTGTACTTGGTTACATATTTGTTTTTCTTCATATGTAAGTTGTTTGAGAGTAAAGGGCATGGTTTATTGATCTTTATTTTATCCCATTGTCTGATCCAGAGTAGTGCCTTTTACTTAGCAGCTACTTAGTCAGTGAATTGCATTGTTATTTACATGAAGAGCAACTGTAAGTCAGAATTTAAACTTCAAGTCATCTACTCATAAGTTAATTTCTCTTCAGTACACCACTCAATATGAGTTCAAAGAAGATTTTTTAGGTAGATATTTTGAAGTATAGTACTCCCTAAAAAATCTGCTTGTAAAATATTGATATTTATTTTAAAAATAATTTTATGTTTTATATTTTAATATTGTTTTAATTTTGATGTTAACATATTTGTCATTTGACCTACAAAACTGCTAAAGTTACTGCCTAAAACTGTTGGATTTTCAACCAAGGTATATGCCAAAAGATATTATTTTTTGTATTAATTTTTATACCTAAAGCCAAACCACTTCTCCATGCAAAACAGACCAGAGATGATTCTTTTATTTAGAATAATGGTAGTTTCCAAATTCTGTGTAGCATGTGGTTGAAAATAATGTCTTTAAATAATTTTATTTTAAAAAGGGACTTTATTTAAAAATTTGATTTTAAATTAGACTTCTCTAGATCAAACTGATGGACAATGAATTTGTCCCATCATGTCAAAATTACATTAATACAGTTTTTGGAGGAGTCATCCAAACTTGTCTCTGTTATTAAGTTTAATATTCTCAGTTTGTAGAGAAGTGACTGTAGCCCTTAGTCTTAATAAATTAAACTGTTTTTAGCTGTGATTATTATAGTCATTAACATTTATTTAATATTAACCATGCTTTGTTTTCATAGTGTACTGTTTACTTGAATGCAAAGAGTATTGTAAACTGGCTTCTTTTCAATGGAGTTTTTAGTTTATATGCAAATCTTGTACTCATTGCAGATCTCAGTTGCTGATCATGCTAAAGTAATAATGCCAGTTTCAAGGATACGTTTTATTATTTGTACCATAACAAACCATAGCTATATTTGTTTATTTTTATGAATATGTCTTTTTAATTACTTGAAAGAAGTACATTGTTAAATGAAGCTAAAAAACTTCCCTTTTCTTCTTTCTCCTTTAGAATCGAGTTTCTTACTGGGAAATGCCCAGATTGTGGATTGGCCTGTAGTTTATAGTAATGACGGTTTTTGCAAACTCTCTGGGTATCATCGAGCTGACGTCATGCAGAAAAGTAGCACTTGCAGGTAGGTTAAGAGAACAGCTCAGGAATGTTTTCTAAAGTTTAACTAAATGTTGAATGTGGTTAAAAGGCTTAAACTTACTTAGACTCACTGTGATTTGGTCTTGCACCCAGTTCTTGGTACAGAGCTCCCAAAACTCTTGGAATTTCTTGTTATATGTTAATGAGGTGACTTTTGGAAAGCCCTTAGATAACCTAAAGATGGGGTTGGCTGCCAGAGGAACCAACCATGTGATTAGTACCATGCCCTCTCCCCAGTCTCCTGGAGAGGGGCTGGAGGTTGAATCAATACCAATGGCAATGATTTAATCAATTATGACTGTGTAATGAAGCCTCCATAAAAACTCAGAGGACAGGTTCTGAGGCCTTCCAGTTTGGGCAACATGTGGAAGTGCCGAGAGTGGCATGTCTGGTGAGGGCATGGAAGCCCCATACCTTGTCCTGTGCGTCTCTTCCATCTGCCTGTTTCTGAGTTATATCCTTTTATGATAAACCAGTAATCTGGTAAGCAAAATGTTTCTCTGAGCTCTGTGAGTCTCTCTAGCAAATTATTCAAACCAAAGGAAGAGGTCATGGGAACCTCTCATATATAGCTGTTTGTCAAAAGTACACATAACAACCTCTGCTTGTAACTGGTGCTGAAGTTTAAGGAGGGTGTCATGGGAACCTCCAATCTGTATTAGGTGGGTCAGAAACACAGGCAACGACCTAGGCTTGTGACTGATTCCTGAAGTCTGGTGGAGGGTAGTCTTGTAGGACTGAACCCTCAATGTTTAACCTGTGGAATCTGATGCTATCTGCAGGTAGGTAGTGTCAGAATTGAGTTGAATCATAGGACACCCAGCTGGTGTCCCTAGAATTGCTTGTTGTTGGTATAGGGAAACTCTCCACCACCACCCCCACACCCAGATTGGAATTGGTACCAGAACCTATTGATTCACATGAAAACTATAGGGTAAAAATTATATTAGAATGTTAAGGAGACTAAACTGTCAATAGAAATACATAGTTTAAGAGCCACTGGTGAGAACTTTTGCAAAGAGAAATATTTTTGCATAGCTGTGAATTTATTAATTCATTCAATAAATATTTTTTGATCACCCTCTATGGGCCACAAACTATTCTAGGTGCCAAGTGATCAAAGGAACACCCTATATCAGAGGACCATTGATGTCATCAGCACTTCTTGAGTTGCTAAAACTGTATTGAACAAAGTAGGGGCAACAACCCCCAACCAAGTAGGACATGGTTTTTGAACATTAAAAAAAATCAAAATGAAGTTCTTTCATACTGTATAAATCACACGTACTTTGTTATGTTGGTACATTGTACCACTGCTATTTTGTTTGACTTATGTAAAACAGAATCTGGCATTTATATTATTTATAACAATTCTTTTAAAATATTCCATATCTGTGAGCTTAAAGAGAGTATTACCAAAAAAGATCATAAAAGAGAAAAGGAAACTCTATATAAGGAACCAATTTAGAACCGAAAACTTTTCACAATATTTCGGTAATGCCAGATGGGATGTTTTTTCCTTGAGTTAATTTTTCTTTAAAGCTCACACTTAACTAAGTACCAAAATCATGTTATTTTAGAACTGCAAGGGGTCAATTATTTTCTACACCATATTCGTTATTTTTCAGAGGAAAAACTGAGTTAGAGTTAGGTTAAGGGATTTGCCCAGGGAAACAGTGATTTATTTATCTTTTTTTCTACCCATTTATGCTGCGAAACATTATATGCATATACAAATATATATATTCTACATCTTCATGGAGGGTAGGGATTTCATATGGGGTCTAAACCTGACTATACATGGGAATCACTTAGAGAGGTTTTGCAAAACACAGATTCTCAGACCTCCTCTTAAACCTATTGAATCAGAATCACCTCAGGTGGGTAGGTGGGGGCAGGAATCAGTACTTTTAACCAGCAGCTCTGATGATCCTGATGCTTAGCCAGCACTGAGAAATTATCTGTTCAAACATCCTCTTTCTTCGCTTATCCTCTCCCAGCAGTCCTCATTTTCTCTCTACTAAAGTCATTCTCGTATTCAGCCTTCACTTCCAGGCCTGAAATTGGTAGGTAGGAATGATGAAAAACTGTGGCCCCTCGTTGAGAAACTCTCTTTGGTAGCACGGATGTCTCTTGTGCCTTTTTATCTGCTGGGTGGATATTAGCTCTTGGCCTAGCACTGTAGGTGTGTGTTCTAAATTCTGGGAGGCCAAGGTTTGTATTGAGCATTTCTGCTCCCTTATGTCTCGGCAGGGTTTAGGTTAGGAAAAGGTTAGTTTTATGATAGACCTAACCTGTGGAACAGGTTCTATAGAGAATTCCAGGAAATGTAGATGCTCCCATACCTATTTCCTGACCTCCCACCATCATCATGCCGGGCTTGTTTCAAGTTGCCATCTTCTACCTGAAGGTGCTCATAACTTTTCATCCTTTGACTCCCTATAGTTCATCATTTGGCACCGTCATATGGCCTTAAACTAGTTTTTCTTATCCCTGGGGTTTTCATCGCTATTGCTTTTGTTGTCATTTTTGAGATGTATTGCTCTTCATATCTGGATATATTGTAAAGTCATGCTCACATCTCTTCTTGCTTCCCATGTATCTGCCCCTATACCCCAGCCTGTTTTCTTTGGCACGTGCAGTTTTTCCTATGAAAAGTTCATTAAAAAATGCTGGCATGTTGTAACACAGAGAATGTATATTCTCTCCCCTTAAAGCATTGCTTTCCCTCCTACCACCAGTGCCAGATTATACATGCCTTGAAGGTAAGGATTCCATCTTGTTCACTTTTGTATGCACTACAGGACACAGCTCAGTGTTCTGTGTCAGTATTGTTGAATTGGTTGGCTTGTTTTGCAATAAACCCTAACCTAGGTGTCACAGACTTCTGTATAACGTGCTTTTATTTATTGTATTTTATCCCAAGTGTTATGGTATTTGAGGTGGGTAAGAAAGCAGAGAGCTTTGGATTATGTTACACTTTTTCACTGTGGGAAGAAGTATGCAAATCTCCCCCCAATTCTTCTTCACTTTTGTTAGAGATGGTATTTTCAAAATACCAGTATTCTTTTTAACATCTTTAGTGGAGTATAATTGCTCTACAATGGTGCATTAGCTTCTGCTGTAAAACAAAGTGAATAATCAGCCATATATATACATATATCCCCATATCCCCTCCCTCTTGAGTCTCCCTCCCACCCTCCCTATCCCACCCCTCTAGATGGTCACAAAGCACAGAGCTGATCTCCCTGTGCTATGCAGCTGCTTCCCACTAGCTGTCTATTTTACATTTGGTAGTGTATATATGTCCATGCTACTCTCTCACTTCCTTGCAGCTTACCCTTCCCCCTCCCCATGTCAAGTCCATGCTCTACGAATACCAATAGTCTTTAAAAATTTTTTTATTGAGGCATAGTTAATTTATAAGATTATATTAATTTCAGGTGTATAACAGTGATTCAAAATTTTTCTAAATTATACTCCATTTAAAGTTATTGTAAAATATTGGCTACATTTCTTGTGCTGTACTGTATATCCTTGTAGCTTATTTATAAATCGTAGTTTGTACCTCTTAATCCCCTACCCTTTTCTTACCCCTCCCCTCTTCCCTCTCCCCACTGGTAATCACTAGTTAAACATAACAGTATTCTTAACACAAACAATTATTACTTGATTGCACAAAATGCCTGTTGTGTTCTGCTAATCTAAAACTTGTAAGCAATTGAATGCTCTCGCAGAGCAATGAAGACTAGCATCTGATATATGAGCAAGTGTTTGAATCCTATCAGGTTTTCTTAAGGCATAGTTTATTTTAATGCACGCCCCTTTCAAACTTCTACATTCCGTTTAAAAATTAAACTACACCCATTTTACTTTCATTGAAGCACTTTTTAGAAGAATGAAAACCTGGAAATAATAAAAATGCCTGGTAGTATATTTATTAAAAAATGTTATGGCAAAGCCCTAACTTCTTACATCATATGTTGGAAGAATAATGACACTGAAAGAAGCTAACAATGTATTACTAAGTAAAAAAGTCAACCAACCAGCCAAATGAACAAAAAAGATTTCAAAACAATATCTGCATCATGATTCCAATTTTGCTTACATATAGTTGTTTTCCATTTCCTGTATAAATCTATAAAAGCCTTTGAATATGATACACAAGGAAACAGAGGGAGGAAAGAAACTTTTATACACATTTAGAAATACAGTGTTAAAGCTAATGTTATACAGTTTTGGAATCACTGAATTCTAGTTGAATATGGACATAAATAATTTGATACTGAGGGTAGCCTTATAACAAATCAAAGAATTTTACTGATTTTAATAATGACAAGTTTTAGACAAACAGAATAAGAAGCTACAAATCAGTGAGTATCACTTTGTGAGGAAAAAATATGAATATGTGCTGAAAAAGAGTCATCTTTGTATACAACTTGCACTAGATGGATTAAAATTGATAGGATTAAAGTGGTAACTGCATAAAGATTACATGTCCTATTTTTAAAATATTCAAATGTGAGTTGTTTTATGGAAAATGACAAATATTAATTTGTAATTTTACAATATCAAGAGGCTAAGATTATTTATACATTATATATTATGATACAGTATTTATACATTTGTATATTTATTCTGTTTTCTTATCTTTTTCCTTCTTTGTCTTTCCCAGTCCTTCTCCCATTAGACCAGGTGCATAGAATCAAATTAAACATACTCCTCAGTTTGTCCCAATATTATCATTTGGATCTCTCTGGGCACAGTCTTATTTATTTTATTTTAATTTCATTTTATTTGTTTTATTTTGTTTCAGCTTCTTTTCTTTTATTTCTTTTCCCCTTCATTCCATCCCCCTTCCTCTTCCATAGCTATTCATTTTAGTGTGTTCATTGTATGTCTTTCTAATCCATCTTCCATGTGTTTAATAAATACGTGTATTCTTGAAATGATGTTGCTTTGTGTGTGTTTTTAAGGCCTACA